AGTCGATAAAATGAGAACAGGAAGGAAAAATAGAGAACAAGGTAAAAATAAAAATATAAAAAGCTTTCCAGATCTACGGTAAATCTACGATAAATCTACGAGACCTAGTCGAACGCTTCGTGTACCCTTCTCGGCGAAGAAATAAACGAATCGTTTTCGGAGATGAAAGTTCTAGGAACACATTCTTGTTTTCCTTTTATTGATAAAGATAAAAGATAAAAGATAAAAGATATATATATATATATATATATAATATTATATATATTTACTATATAATATACTATATAATATACTATATAATATTACATAATATACTATATATACTATACAATATACTATATAATACTATCTAATACAATATTATATAATATACTATATAATATACTATATAATACTATCTAATATAATATTACATAATATACTACATATTATGTAATATACTATATATACTATATGATATAATATTATATATATATATATGCTTGTTGGTGGTTTCGTATCGGTATCTTTTCCCTTTAACGTCTACGTTGAATTAAAAACGATTATAATGGTTAAGTCCGTTTACGAGAGAAATAATACTGACGATATTATACATGATTTTTCGTTATCCTTCCCCATCGTATCGAGTTTCCATTCGGTTAGCCATTTTATTTAACACGCGCCGTAGAGAAAATAAATTAAGAGTTCAAGTACAATATCGCATGTGTACGTGTGTGTGTCTGTATGTCTAAACGTATGCAATGATCGTGTGTGTGTGTGTGTGTGTGTGTATATATATGTATACAATGCGAGACAATTGCCGATGAAAAGAAAAATTGGAATACATCGATCGACTAGATCGATCGTTCAATCGGTTTTCTTTTTCTCCTTTCTCTTTCGCGTATACTCCGCGCGTCTCATTTATTTCTCGGTCGTTTTCTACGAATAAAAAGGGGGAACGAGTAAAACACGTAAGTATACCACAAATACCCATTAAATATTATACACACTAATTGCCGCTATAAATGTTGCTTTCGCGTACAAAGAACTGCTCCTTACACTTTGCAGACGGAAAACGAAGGAAAAAGGAAAATTAAGGAAAAGGAACAGCGATAATAACAAGCGATTCTTCGCTAGAGAAACGCACGTGTCCTTCTGTACATGTGTATGCACGCACACACGGATACACATGGTTCTCGAGCTTTTCCGACGTTTTTCTATTTTTTCCTCTAGCCGGAAACTGGCTTCCCTTTTCCCTGTTTTTCGATTTTTTTTCTACGAGACACGTGACATCCCGACGATGATGAATCTGTCATCAATGATAAAGTGCGCACGTACATACACGTACGGATCGACAATGCGTTGCGAAAGATTTAGAGAAAAAAGTAGTGAAGAAGCAATGATGGAGACAGTCTCGTCGAGTTTCGCCGAAATTCGGCCCGACGATTGCAATGATAACGATAATAATATTAATAATAATATGTACACCATTCTGAGTCGATCGTTTAACGCGTCCCGTGCCGCGCGGAGCGTACACGACCCACGTTGAATGCTCCATTCAGACCGGAAATGGATGCTCATTGAGAGACGAAGGAATTGTGGGAAATAATGGAATCTTAACGCTAACCATACCGGCGGTTTTCTTAACACGTCAAGCGCCACGGGAATCTTTTTCGGAGATTTTCTTTTGCAGCAAAGAAAAGCAGGAATTATTAATTATTTGACGTTACAATGTTTGCACAACGCTATTATCAACGTAATTACGTTATTAAACATTTTTATTTCATATCGGTTGTCTCGTATGTTACGATTGTTTTCTAGTTATTCAGAAGCGTCAGTTATCAATGGCTGACATGGCGCTTAACGTGTTAACTAATCGAATAATTATAAAATAGATGAACAAGGTGATAAGTTTCCTTTAGTGGAAACAGATTAGGATGAAAATTGAAAAGCTTAACCCTTTGTACAAAGTTTCTCGCTTGAAATATTCAATTCTTTCTAGTTAGATGTAGATGAGATTGTTGAAAATATAATATATAAATCATATTTTATATAAAATATAAAAATATCAATGACATTTCTTGCAACTAACACAAAGAAGTACCTTGCATAAATTAAGTGGCAGAACTATTTAATTTAATGTTGCACGTATCCATACATTATAAAAATTTAATATTGAATCCTAAATTTCATCATTTTGCTCGAGTGCAAAGGGTTTCACTGTAAAAGTGTGGGTCGCGTGTGACCCACCCGACCTGAAGTCTTAAAAACGGTCCGGCATGGAACGTGTTAAGGTAAGAGACAAATCTATCCGAAGTTGTGTAGAAACGTGATACGTACAAGCTTAACCCTAACCGGACCACGACGTGACTCTGAGTCATCATTTCAACATTTCACCTACTCAAATTTTTTCATTATTTCATACTGCATTTCCAAAAATTTCCTTGGACTAAAATTTTCCTATAAACAAAAATAATTTCAATTATTCCTCTTCTCATGACCGAGAGTCTCATCGTGGTATTCGTTACAAAAACACGTACGATTAGGGTTAATAAAAAGAAAAGGAAAACAGAGAAACAAAAGAGAGAGAGGGGAAGAGAAATGGATGAAGCGAGAGATCGTGGGAATGATAATAAATGTACAAAGGCGATGGAGTGATTTTCTAAGCAGCAAGCAGAAGGGACGCGAGAGAAGAAAGAAAGTGAGACGAGGAAGAGAATCTGTCTTCTACTAATTACGAGAGCTGCTTATATTGCACTAAAAAACAGTCCTCCCCTCTCTTTAGCTGGTGAAATGCAGTCACGGCGACGCGTCGGTCTAAAGATTTCGCACGCTAATTAACACTAGGTTTACGGAACCAAACTGACGCATATTGGATATTAGAAATATTATTTTGTAAATATTCACATTTTGATTGATCACACATGTACTCCAATTACCTACTATCAGATCTCCAGTTTCAATCTAAATAAACGAGCATCGATTTTAGGAACAATAGAACGAAGTGTACAATGCCCGTAAACCTACTGTTAAATCAAGAAACATGATCGCGTTGATGTATGCCTGTAGTGTCTCTAGCCTTTTGCATTCAAACAAACATATTCAAATAAACTCTTTAGTTCTTCATTTATACAGAATGTTTATATTACATCAATTGTAAAAATTGTCAGCATTATAGAATGACGAGTAAACATAAATAACGAGGAAGTAAGCGCAAAAGGCTAAACGATGCTACAAACGCGGGAGACGAGACAAGGTTAAAGGTCGTGAACGGCTGTTTTCGAACAACCAATCGGCCATTTGTAATAAATTACAGCAAGGTACGTTTATTCCGCTTTTCTCCATTCAGATACGGTTCAGTTTCGTGTCGCTGAATATTTCTCTTTCTCTCTCTCTCTCTCTCTTTCTCACTCTCAATCGCTTATGCACTCATCAAATTAACAAACTCTCTCTCTCTCTCACTCTTTCTCTCTCTCTCTCTCGCTCTGTTGTTTTCTGTGATGTTTTGGCTACTGGTTGTCAATCAACAGTTCCACCGATAATATTAGTCGTCGCCTATACCGTTAAAGTGTAAATCGATGCGGAGCAGCGAGTGGTTCGATAAAGGTTGCGCACTGGCAATGGGAAAAAAAAGAAGATCACGTTCGATTCGATCGGCGCGTTGTAAAGAGTTTTTCAGCGTTACATTTCTTTCTTTTTGTTTTCTCTCTTTTTTTCGCTTATCCTCGATTTCCTCTCCGATATCTACAAATCCATTATGTTTATTACTTTTTTGTTTGTTTGTTTGTTTGTTTGTTTGTTTCAGCTTCGAAGAGAATAAACTCGATGATCACACGCTTCGCATATTATTATTACTATTATGTGTATCGTGTGTGTTATTGTATGTGTGTATATATGTATATACACATACGTATGTATATATACATATATATATATGCAATATACTATATTGCTGAGTCCTCCTATTTCTTTTCCTTTTTTTTCCTTTTTTTATTTATTTAATTCTCCGATCGAGTTCATCGTCGCCCCTCCCCCCTTTTTCATGGAAAGGTAAGGATATACTTCAGTTGTGGCGATCAATTATATAATAGTAATAATAATAATATTATTAATAATAATAGTTAATAATAATAATAATAGATAATAGATAATAATAATAATAATAATAATTCTTCATAATAAATGTAAAAGCTGGTACACAGAGATAACAAGCGACTCACTGCGGTGCCGCGGACAAAAAGACGTACAAAAAACGTGACACATGCACAATACTAGACAAAAACTTTGACAACACAAATCACCAGACTAAATTCATTTTGTTTTTCTCCGTTTCTTTCTTTCCTTCTTTCTTTCTTTCTTTTTTTTCGTTCTTTCTTTTCTTTTTTCCACCGACGTCGATTACAGCGGCGTACGCTCGCACGCACGTCTGAAATGTGTATGCACGTGTGTTTGTGTGTATGTGTGTGAATCATTTATATATGCTGATATCTGCTGGCCCGATATGATTGTAAATCATATTGAATATTCAATTATCTAAAAACATTCTAAAACTTCTTGCTTCGATTAAATGTCTGTTGCAAACCACTCGATTGGCTGCGAACAAAATCATATCTAATATTAATTCCCCAGCTCTTCTCTTCTCTCTGTCGGACAATTCGATCGTTAATTAGTCCTCTCCTCCTTCTCCTCCTCCACTTCCTCCTCCTCATCATCATCAATCTATCTCCCTTCCTCTCCTCTTCTCATTGTTTGCGCGAGGGTTTGACACAGACTAACAAGACGTTTGTGTGGCATTGGATGGAGAGACAACTCAATTAGTAAACTGAAACCGCCTGGTCCAGTAATATTATTTATATATGTATATATATGTATATATGTATATGTATGCACGCACGTGTTTGTATGTATGTGTAAATGTATGTGTGGCTGTATGTATTTATGCACGTGTATATATACATGTATATATACACATATATATATACATATACATATATATAAATATAAATAGTAAAACCCTATTCCAAATTATAGGTAGTAGCCTGAACAGCGTAATTCCCTTCTCAGAGCTTTTGCATTCGGTAGTTTTTGTTGTTGTCGTCATCGTCATTATGATCATCGCTTTCCTCCTCTGTGGACGCGGTATCTAGCCACGTCAACCAACCGTTCACCTACGCCATTCAATTGTCATGAATTAATTCTCTGCCTACACTTCTACTTCTTCGTCGCTGTCGATGGAACAATAATAGTGATTCACTGGATACTTGTTTAGTTGCTTAATAGCCGGAGAACGTTAATTAGCGTTTTATAAAAACTATAGGTTTCTGCAGAATCACTATTGTTCCATCCACAGTTATATAACTAGTCTGTGGATCTTCTGAACTGAGATTAGATGCGTATGCATCACTCAATGAAAACTATCTTCAATTAGAGCCTAATTGTAACGAATGAAATGAATGTTTATATGATTCTTCTTTGAATAATTTGAGATGTACAGAAAATTTGTTCCTTTTTCATGAATGTTTGTAAATATTAAGTGTATAGATTTTATTTACCTCAAATAATGCTTTGCCTTTGCCTGGGTAAGCGTCGGTGACGCACTCCTTCCACTTGAAGTAGGCATCCTCCTCGATCACCTCTAGTCGGTAAAGTCCGTCGAACCATCGCAGTAGCATCCCTTTTGGAAAATTGTGCGAGAACCAAAATGCTTGAAGCGCATGGAGAGCTGTCGTTTGAGACTCTATATCGACAAAGAGCGAGCGCATCAAGCGTGCGTATTTATCCAGTAATGCCTTTTCCTTATCTATCACTGCTTTGCCTACGTTAGATGGATCAACGCCAGGTGCCAATATTGTT